GAGGGTGTTAATCATGGATATTATCATCTTCATTATTTTAATTTTAGAGAAATACATGAAACAGTTTCATTAAAATTTCATTAAGTAGTATATGAAACAATTTTATAACCACATATGAAACAACTTCATCAAAAAAAGTATTATATGAAACAATTTCACAAGATTAACAATTTCATGAAAAAATTTCATAGATTAACGATGGATGAGAGTAGTTTTTACAAATTGGAGTGGTTTTCATTTGATCGCTCATCTATATATATATATATATATATATATTTGTGATTATATGATACCGGTATGGTTTTGTGAGACTCGTAAGACCATTTTTTTACATTTAGAACTTCACAGCAAAATACTGTGAAGGTCTTCACAATCTTTTTGTTGTGAAGGTTCAGATTTTTTTTTACTTTTACAGTATTTTGCTGTGAAGTTCCAAGTGCAAAAAAATGGTTTTACGAGTCTCACGAAAACAGACTAGTCTCACGAAAACAGACTGGTCTCACGCGATCCCAACTCTCTCTCTCTCTCTCTCTCTCTCTATATATATATATATATAAACGAGAACACCTTCATTTTACAAGAACACCCTATAGACAATCACATGCGATATTATTATTCTATCACATAAGATACACATGTGATACTAAATCAGATACGTGGACAATTTCGATGCGATCTTGGTTGCGGGCTAAGTCGCCCTTACACCACTAATTCCCCTCACATGTATTATCACATGTGATAAGGTTGTTGTTGATATGATATTATAATTTATCAAGACCATCACATATGATGCTAAATCATAGACGCAGACAACCTTTGGCATGAGCTAAGTCGTAGAACACTTCGTCCGCACATCACAAGGTCCCCTCACGTGTATTATCACATGTGATAAGGGTGTTTTCGCATTATTGTAAAATGATGGTGTTCTCGTTTGAACCTCCACCTATATAGTTAAGGTTTCAATAATCGATCTTAAGGATAAATTGCAACAACATAAACAATACTTTATTTCTATTTTCATATAAGTATTATGTATTTGAACGTGATTAAAACAATATACAAGATTTTGTGGTACATAACAATGTAGGTAATAGTTGTATTATAAAACTGATTATTTTGCATTTTAATGAAAAATAAGTGGCCATTTGCCGACCCTTACCGGTCATCATAGTAGATTGTTGGTAAACACCTCGTAGGTGTCGTTTACCAAACACTTACCCCATAAACGTTTAGTGGTAAGAAATAACATTATCGTTTATTTACTGCGTAATTAAAGTATTTTAGTCCACCAAAATGACATCGTTTGCAGAATTGATCCAATAAGTGTTCACCGTGGTAAGAGTCGTCGTCCTTACTTATCGGATAAAACATTTGGTCATTGTCTCTTTCTTGTATTTGGTAAGATTCTTGGTCATTACCAAATTTATCCGATAAAGTAATGTGACTTGGTAAACACTTACCTGGGTAAACATTTGGTAAACGGCTTCTTACTCTGTAAACGTTAATCGAGTAAGATTATCAGTCCTTAGAATGCCTCTTACGGATGAGATTCTCGATCATTACATGCTCATCCAGAGTCACCTCTTATATACTTAACCCGCAATATTCTCGGCCATCAAAATTGATAGTTGGTAACCATATTTACCCAGTAAGCGCTTACCGAGTAAGAGTTTTTTTTCTCACATAGGGGATAAAACTCCCGGTTCTTATGTCACTTCTTACCGAGTGAGATTTTTGGCCTTGCCATGTTCACACAATAAAGTAAGGGACATCCGGTAAATACTTACCCGATATGTATTTAAGGGGTGTTTGAGATTGCTTATTTGAAACAACTTATGATTTTCTACAAAAACACTTATCAATTTATTATAAGTCAGAAGGGTTTAACTTCTTTAAAAACTTCTTATTATCAATTTGGCACCGATATAAGTTGTTTATCCTAACACTCAAAAGTGCTTATTACTGGTGTCACACCGAAATAAATCAATAAATTATTTTTATAAGCAATCCCAAACACCGCTAATAAACGGACGTTATAAAGCTATGAATTAATTACAAGATAAAGAAGCGGATTGGGAGCAAACTCCATTCATGTTTTATCGGAAGGTTATTATAAATGGTGGGGTCCAATCCAAGGTCTCCACTATTCCCTAGACTGGCCTTGTTTATATATAGCAGCAATGGAGGTTACACGGAGTATGTATCATTCTCCCTAAATCAAATCGCCTGTGTACTCTTGCTCTTGCTCTTGTTGATATTGCCGTAGTGGTGGTGCTTCAATCACCATATATCTATCGTCACCTACCTACACCTAGATTGTGCTTTTGATTTTGCCGGATCGATCCATGGATGATCAGGAGCATTGCGGTGGCGATGGTGTTGGTTGTGGTGCTACTGATCAGACTACCGTCGGTGATTCTTACACGGATCAGTATCGATCTCCTTCTGCCGGTAAATTAAATGATTCTCTTTCGTGGAAACTCGATATCAGCAATTTCCGATTACCAGAATCCTCCTCCACCATCGACGATAAAGCTTCCACTCTCCGCCGACTGTTCCTCCTTGCTCCAAGTAATTGCATCCACGCTATTTCTTCTTTTTATATATACATGAATGGTGGTTTTCCCCTTTCATAAATTCAAATTTGTTTATATGGACGCAAATGTGTGATTCATCGATTCTAGAAAATAAACAGGTTTATAACCTATACTTCCTTCTAACAATTGCAAACATTTTATTGCACTTGATTTTGTTTATGGTTTGATACAATTTTTGTTTACTGATGATAAAATACATAGAATAATTTAGATCTATGCTCATGGTTCATGAAGTTAATACACAGAGGTCAATTAACTAAATGTTTACCCGGTAAACGCCTATTCGTAATAGTCACACTTTCATTTTACTTATCGGGTAAGATTTTAGTTTATTAAACGACATCATATGCAACATTTTTATCCTGTAAACGTTTACCGGGTATGAGTTGTTGCTTTTATTTACAGCGTAAGACTCTCGGGTTTTTCTCTTGCTCTTACTGGGTAAGATTTTCAATCCTTATCATGTTCATCCGATAAGTTAAAGTGACAAACATTCATTGTTTAGTAAAAGGCATCTTAATTAGCAATACGACCAAATTAGTCTTTGAACAAACTATTAATTCTTATTAAAATTTCTTTATTAAAATTATTTTATATATCCAATGAGAAATCAAATTTCAACATGGAAAAAAATATGGGTAGCTACTAAAACATCTCTACTAGATTTTTCAATATTTTCTTCAAAACAGATAATTAGAAATCAACTTTGAAAATAATTGCAATCAATTCTATCAGAACATCTCTAACAGGTATGAAAGTATAACTTTTAAATAGAGAATGAACCTAGAAGTCGCCAAGGAGAAATCTCTAAAACTTATTATTTCAATTGTTTTCACCGATGATATTGAATGTGTTATAATTTTTTATAAAGTTTTTCTTTTAAAATGTTATGGAATCATGAATTTATGAAATATTTTAATAATATAAATAATATTGGAATTGCTAAAATAGACTAGCTACCGGAAATACCCTCATACTTTTTTCATTTTGAAAAAAAGTTGTGGAGAATCTAGTGGAACACCAAAATTTGAGTTCGTTCGAAAGGCTCTTTGTGTGTCATTCAACAATTTTTCTAGTGTTTGTGAAACTGATTTGAGATCATGTGAGACCAAACTGTTTTCGTGAGAGACCATATAAATAACACTGAACATTCAAAGCAAAACACTGAGCAATGTTTTACTGTGAAGTTTTTGTGTTTTTCATACCTTAATAGTTTTCTACTGTGAAGTTTCAGTGTTACTTTGTAGTCTCATGAATCTCAGAAAAACAGGTTGATCTCATGTGAATCCAAACCCTATTAAAGTTTAACGTATATATTTCTTGCATCAGGAAAACAAAGAAAAGTCCAACAATATTACAAGAAACAAGAAAGACTCTTAGAAGGGTATAATGAGATGGAAACAATAAGCAAAACAGGTTGTTTACCTGGAATCCTGAGTGAGGTTCGTCTTTTATTTAGACAAAGTTGTTCTATCTTTTTTACCAACTGAGTTATACGTTGAAGGCATAAAAATGTTGCATATTAAGCGACTTTCTCACTCTTTACAGGATGAAATGAAGAATCTTGCTCAAAATGAGAGAATGGCGATCTACATTTCCAACGTCGCTAACTTGGTTCTTTTCATCGCTAAAGTCTACGCATCTATCAAAAGCGGATCGTTAGCGGTTATCGCATCAACTCTAGATTCGTTTTTGGATTTATTATCTGGATTTATTTTATGGTTTACTTCAAACGCCATGAGAAACCCGAATCAGTATCACTATCCAATTGGGAAGAATCGAATGCAACCTGTTGTAAGCTCGTCTGACCTTCAACTGTTCAACATTTATATTATTTTCTAAATACATAAGGAATCGATGTTTAAAGGCCTTGAAAATGTTAATATTATTTTTATGCATTATACGAGTAAGGGGTCGGTTCAAATAAGAAGACTAAATGAGACGGCAAGAATAAAGTGCTTATATGTTAATCACTGTAAAAATCCGAAAAAAAATCTATTTAAAGATGCATATGTGAACGGATATTACAGATTATTCATATGGGTTCATATGAATCTTCAAATAATTTTTTTCAATGATTTACATATAAACTTTTCACTCGTACCTTCTCACGATATTTAGCCTTATTAATTGAACCTCTCACGTACCTGTAAATTATGCATTGATGGATTGACTACAAAAAAATTTATACGACCTTCAAATCTTATAAAGAATATATTCAAATAGTTGTTGATGTCCAGGGTATAATCGTTTTCGCAACAATAATGGCGACTCTCGGTTTCCAAATATTGCTAGAGTCCGCAAGAGAACTCGTTGTCAAGGTTCGTGCTCTAGATCCCTCTTTGATAGAGTATTAATTTACAATGTTTGAGTTTTCTATTGATTCATTTAGCACATATTGTAATAGAGCGTCGAGTCCGTAGAGTGGTAAATTTTGCTTCTAATACCATATGAGAATATGTGGAACCCCAGATTAATCTCCATAAGAACTTTAAAAAAAAGGGAGTTCCAACGTATAAAAAAGGGGCCGTTTACCAAACGCTTACCCGGGTAAGCGCTTATCAGGTCACATTACCTTACCAGATGAATATGACAAGGACTAAGAATCTTAACTTGTAAGAACGAGACAAGGACCAAGAGTCTTATCCGGTAAGCGAGAGCGACGACTCTTACAACTATAAATGCTTACTAGGTAAATTGTTGCATACGATACCGTTTTAGTGGACTAAAGTCTTACCCGGTAAGTAATTGGTAGTGTTAAAATTTACCCGTAAGCGCTTATCGGGTAAGTGTTTAGTAAACAGCCCATAAAGTTAACCAAAACAACTTTATATGCAACAATTTACCCAGTAAGAGCTGACCATGGTAAGAGTCATTGCCCTACTTACCGAGTAAGACTCTCGGTCCTTGTCTCGCTCTTATCGGGTAAGCTTCTTGGTCCTTGCAATATTCATCCAATAAAGTAATGTAACTTAGTAAGCGCTTATCCAAGTAAACATTTGGTAAACGACCCCTAAATCTAGCTGATATAAACTCTAATAGATTTTAATAGCGTACAAGTTTCAAAATCAACAAAAGATACGCATATAATAACATCCACCTTATTTTAATTTAAAAAATTTCTTAGAAATGAAAACATTTTTATTTATATCATATAACACAGAAGGTAAATGTTAGTTGTTTAATGGTTTAGATGAATAGAAGTTATTTTAGTAAAATATATCAATCGGTAGAACCCTGATAACAGAAAGAGATGCTTTTATTTTGACCCTAATAAAATTGTACTAATTGCAGACTCATCCTAACGACGATCATGATAGTGAAAAATGGGTGATTGGTATCATGGTGTCTGTGACGGTAGTGAAATTTATGCTCATGATGTATTGTCGAAGATTCGAAAACGAAATAGTGAGAGCGTACGCTCAAGATCATTTCTTCGATGTCATCACCAATTCTGTTGGATTAGCTGCAACAATCTTAGCCATACATTACCGTTGGTGGATTGATCCCGTTGGAGCTATAATTGTGAGTACACACGATCAATATCTCATCATTTATGAATTGCTCAATTAATTACCATGTTACGAGAGCTCATTTAGGTATAGCATTAAATGAGATTTTAATTAAATCAAACACTTATCGACCTTTATTAAATGAGACTTCTATTAAGAGCATTATCTCCATGACAAATTTAGCAAGCATTCTTTTATATGGAGGTGACGTTCTTAAACTTGCTAAAAGTTATGGATTTAAAACAAGTTACTAAACACGTCTGTGTTTCCATCTGATCTTGTAGATAGCGTTATATACAATAAATACATGGGCAAAGACTGTTATAGAGAATGTATGGTCGTTAATAGGGAGAACTGCTCCACCAGAATTCTTGGCGAAATTGACATATTTGGTATGGAATCATCATGAAGAAATAAAACACATCGATACAGTGAGAGCCTACACGTTTGGGAATCATTATTTTGTGGAGGTAGATATTGTGTTGCGAGAGGATATGGTGCTCATTGAGGCACATAACATCGGAGAAATGTTGCAAGTAAAGCTGGAGCAATTGGTTGAAGTCGAAAGAGCATTTGTTCATATCGATTTTGAGTTCACACATACACCTGAACATAAAGGAAAAGTTTGAAGTTATATAAACATTATTTCTTACACCTCAGTTAAAAAAGAGAGGATAAAACTGATAGTGAATAATGACGATTATATCTGTAATTCTTTTAGACACTTACGATAAATGTTTGGTGTTTTCGTTTATACTTCTATTGTCATATCAATCAAGAAATACATGATTAAGTTTTTGCATTTTGCGCTAGAGAATATTTTATACTTCGATTTTTTTTATTTTCTCTATACATTTAGAGAATTTGTTACAACAAAATTTCTATTTTTTCTACTTTAGAGAATCTGTTAGAATTGCTCTTAATACACGATAGAGAAAATAAGAGAAAGATAATCTAAAAAACTCCAAATTTATAGATCACCCAAGAATGAAATAATTATAATGAAAGAGAAATATTATTTTAAATAATATTATAATTTTTAAAATAAAAAAAATTATTTTTAAAAAGTATAAATTTGAGTGATTCAATTATTTTACGTAAAAGGATATAAATATTGGATCCGAATATTATAAAAACAAAAACCACAAAATCCTTTAGAAAAAAACACAAACACACGCGTCTCCATTTACGTGAAGATGATGAACACACGCACACATTCTTGAAGAACATCTTCAACCCCATCTTCATATCATCAAACTCGATTGGATTAGGTTTAAACTATAAACCCTAATTTTTTCGCCCATCGATCATGGCTTTTACTGTAATCCCCAATCTCTCTCCTCCATCTTTTACTCGACTTCATCTTCATCATCAATCCTATTCCTTCCATAAATCTTCATCTAATTCTGCAATTCACCATAACCACCACCATTCCTCCCACCTCCCTCTACAATCATCCGTTGAATTACCACCGGTTCGTGTTCGTGTTTCTCCGCCGCGAGATCCTCGCCAGGATTTCTACGTTAATCTCGGTTTAGCTGTTCGTACTCTCCGCCATGATCTACCTCTCCTCTTCTCTACGGATCTCAATTACGAAATCTACAGGTACACATGTTTTTATGTTTATGTTTATGTTTTAATCGATCGGAAACCTAGACATTTGGTTCACAGAATGGAATTTGATGGAATTGGAATACATCGTTTGAAAGAACTGGAATGGAATTCGATGGAGTTTGATTAGGTGTTTGGTCGGTAGGAATTAGAATGAAATTTGATGGAATTTGATCAGGTGTTTGGTCGATAGTAATTGGAATGGAATCTCCCGGAAAAAGTTGGAATCTCCATTTTTGTTTGGGGAGAATCGGTGGTGATAGCTATTGGTGGTAGGTGAGGTCGCAGGATGGTAGCTGTGTCGATTACAGTTGTGGCATGGTGGTGGGGTGGGGGAGTCAGGTGGGGTGTTTGTGGGTCGCATGGGTGGCAGGGTGAGGGTGGCAGCTGTTACCGCGAAAGTAGTGGTACGGTGATCAATGTTGGGTTAGGGGTTGGGTGAGGGTTGTGAAGGCGAAGATGGGGGTGTGATGATAACAGTAGTAGTATGGTTGGGGCGAGGGTGGCGGTTTTGGTTAAATTGGATGCAAAAAATGGAATTCAATCCCTTCCCTTATACAATGGAACGATGAATTCATTAATTTATGGAATTCAACGGAATTCAAAGAATTCATTGTTTTCATTTCGTGAACCAAACATTGGATTCGGAATTCGGTCAAAGGAATTATCCATTCCAATTCATTCAAAATCCATGAACCAAAAACACCCCTAGATTACTTAGATTTAGATTTCTATGGTTGTGTTACATAATCATGTTATGTGGTTGATTTCGCAATTACAGGGACGATATCACCTTCGTTGATCCTCTAAACAAGTTCACCGGTATACACAACTACAAACTCATCTTCAGTGCATTACGTTTCCATGGTCGTATCCTTTTCAAAGAAATCTCCCTAGAGATTTTTCGGGTTTGGCAGCCATCAGAGAACCTAATATTAATCCGTTGGAACCTCAAAGGCATCCCTCGTGTACCCTGGGAAGCCAAGGGTGAATTCCAGGGCACTTCTCGCTACAAATTGGATCGAAATGGGAAAATTTACGAACATAAAGTCGATAATTTGGCTTTCAATCTTCCACAACAACTAAAACCTGCTATATCTGTTTTGGATTTGGTGTCTGCTTGTCCTGCTACCCCTAACCCTACATTCTCTTGGGGAATCGTGGATTCTACTACCTATTCGTCTTCGTGGCTAGACTTCTATCGGGCAGTTAAGAACACGTTGGATCCTAGCCAAGATTCTTCAGGTTTGCAAGATTGCCAACTAGTTGCTACTTGTTCATAGTGAGTGATTGATTAGCTATACAAACTCTTTTGCATATTGTTATGTATATGCATATGCATATATACTTACACTCTGTTGCACATACTCTACATATACGATATAACAACACGATCTTGAAAGCTATAAAAAAGGCGTAAGCAAAAGATAATAATGTTGTTGGATTAGAGGGCAAAGGGATGTTTGCAGTGTGTATATAGATAGAGTTGTTTATGGGTTTTTTGTTTTACTTCTTGGGTCAGCTAGCAAGGATATGAAATGATGAATATGATATGTATTATATAATATGTATACAAATATGCATCAATTCTTCTGTTACAGATTCGGTCAACCACAATTCTTGATGTTCTAATCACCTATCGATAGATTCAAAGGCGATAATACTTCAAAAGAAGTTAACTTGAGACCACGATGTTAAAAGAGGATGATCTCACTGCTGAAAGTTTCGCTATGCTATCCAACTAAGTGTTGGTTTCTAGAAATCAAGTAGATCTTACCGGGTTTCTTGGTTAAAAGACTATTGAGTTGGAAGCTTGTCGAGAGGTCTAATAGTTGCAACTCTGCAGTTATCGGCCCCCATGTATTTGTCATACGTTACTTTCAGCACTGCTGTTCTTGCAGCTTGATGAAATCTCAAGATCATCTCCGCGCAATCCCTAAGATAGAAGTGTAAAAACACATTAAAAACTTGATGTTCAGGTAAGACTCAAGGTTTTAAAAGGCGGTATGAGGCATAAGGCAGTGGAAATATATACACCTAAATATGTATATACCACACAAGGGTCACGTTCAAGTGAAAATCGCAAAAAATGAAAAACTGAGGAACACTTTGGTAATGAACAATATACACATGTGCATACAAGTAGAACCGTATGCATATGTGCATACAAGTAATTTGTAAGCAATTTATCTGGTATGCACCCGTGCTAAAAACCAAGACACAACTTCAATTGCTTGTATGCACATGTGCATACAAGTAATTTGTAAGCAATTTAGCTGGTATGCACATGTGTATAACATGCACTCGTGCTAAAAACCAAGACACAAAATCAATTGCTTGTATGCACATACCGTCCAGATAAATGGTTACTAGGGTTTTCTTTAGTTTTTCATTTTTTGAGGGTTTTTTTTAGTTTTTCATTTTTTGAGGGTTTTCTACTCAAACCTCCCTCTACTAAATTTATATATATATAGGCGAAGGATCGTGTGTGAGAAGGGTAGTTATGATGAGAAGTAAGAAGAGATCTAAGGCTTGATCACTTTTAATCTCATGTCCACTCATGAATTGCATTTTAGAAGGGAATTGATCCGGTGTATCTTGGTGCACCTCATTAGTATTGACATTCAATTAGGATTGATCCAAGGGTGGAGATCTCTTCTTACGCTTCTCACAATAACATCCCTTCTTACCGCAACCCAACCCTATATATATATATATATGTATAAACATTTATGTACAGTATATATACAAAAGAAAAAGTGAAACAATGAGATAGGCTGGGAGGGTGTGAAAAATCAGTGGCTTGGAGGAAGAGGAAGATTGACCCACACTTTTTAAATAAGAGGAGAAAGTATTAGCTTTTTGGCTTTTAAAATATTCAAATTACACATTGGGCCATTAGGCTTTGACTTTTAGTTTTTCTAAAAAGACATTTATACTATAAAGAGAAGTACTACTACTGTCATAAAGCTTATAAAAAAGCCAAAAAAACCATTATCAAACACATCATCTGAGGCATACGCCTCGACAACGCCTTACTGAAGGCGTAAGCCTCGTCCATGGTCCAAGAGGCGGCGCCTCAGGTGCGGTTTTGGGCCTCCTCGCCTCAAGGCGTACATTTTAAGACCATGGATAGACCTCACAAAATATGTGCAAAAACACATTAAAATCTTGATCACAGAAGAGTGAGAGTACCTGATCTGAAACTCGTGATAGTGAGAATGCTTGCATAGAAGTGGAGTCCATGGTGGGGTCAAGTGCAGGGTACACCTAGCAACATAAATAGCTGATGCACATAGCAATGATGGCTTGAAATGTAAAGCATCATACTCCACCAAGCACAACTCAATCAGGAAGAATGCTAGGTTCTCAAACTGAAAAAAATGGTACTCAAAAAGGGATGTTAGTATTACTTTATCAAGATTGAGTTGCATCTATTTTGTAACTGTATTGCAGCAGAAATTGTAAATACCTTTTTGCCTGCCTGAGCAGCTCTAAGAAATCTCAGCATAAAGACATAGGGCGTGGGAAGATTAAGACGAAAGTTTAACTTCTTTAAAATCGTCGTTTCCTAAGGAAATAAAAATATGGGACTATAGTGAATCCACGATATGATAGAAGCAAATAATGGTGACATATGGAGGTGATTCATTATAAATAGAAGTTCAATGCATCTCCTGATATTCGAAAGAAAGATAGGTGCAAGCCTAATATGATGAACCAAATGTCCAAATCTAGGTCACAGTGTTTACAAGGAATAGACACTAGAATTTTTGTTTCAAGTGAATCCAGTTTAGACTATGAGAGTTGTATCAACTCTCAATAGATCTTTTGAGCGATAATACGTTTGGGTTGTGGTTGTATTACATCGGTATTAGGTACCTCCTTTCTCTAGATATATATATATATATATATATGTATATATATATATATATATGTATATATATATATATATATATATTATAAATTGGCTAGGGCTCCATTTTCTGAGCAGTTTTCAAAACCAGAGTTCACCAAAGTCTTGCAACTAGTAAGTTTATCTGTGTTCCTTGTATTAACAAGGGTGGCATATCATCTTATCTAATGTGATTTCTTACGTCAAGAATCTAGTTGTATTTCTATGGATAAATGAAGAGTACCTAAAAACCGTGATTTTAAAGACCGTTTGACGCATTAGCCTTGAGGCGGCCCAAAACCGCACCCTCGACAGCACCTCTTGGACCTTGAACTAGGCTTAGCCTTGGTTTGATGAGTGGTTCGGTAAGGCGTGAGGCATACAAATGATCTGTTTTGCTAATGGTTTACTCTTCGCCTCATTGAGGGAAAACGCCTCAAGGCCCGATTCTACCTTTTAAAACCTTGCCTAAAACTAGATGCTGCAATATAAAATAGAGAAACAATAGACATACCATTCCAAGCATTTGATCTCTTGTGTATACCTCTGCTGAGATGCTAATTAATTCCATAACCTGTTAAACATACAAATGATGTAAACATGAAATGAAAAAACAAAGACTCTTTTTTCTGTTTTAAAAAACTATTGAAACAGTTACCTTTGGATGCCAGAAATCCTCATACTTTGATGCTAGCAATAGTGCGGTGAGACCAACTAATTGCATTTCATTTTTCTTAATAGTAACAACAGACAAGTAACAGTCCAAGAGGGTGACCATCAAATAAAGTGTCTCTTGCATCAAATCAAATTTCAAATGTACCTGTCGCATCAAACCAACAGATGCAGATTTAAAACTACCAGATAAGTAAAACCAGTTCTAACTTTGCATTGAAGGAACTTAAAAAAAAGGATGTACTTCTATGAGCCAATTGATCAATATGCCTCGCATTTGAGCTGTGATTTCTGTCTGGATCTCCATATAGTTTTTTAGCGGCTGATTATGCGCCTGCAGTCACACGCCCGTTAAAGATACACAACGTCAAGCTCATATATATAAATCAAACTAGCATCAATAGCAAAACAACGCGACGGCATTGTCAAAAAATCAGGACCTCGAGGCAAGGTTTTAAAAAGCAGAACTGGGCCTCGAGGCGTAACCTCAAGGCGGTCCAAGGCGTAAGCCCCGAGGCGGATATATATACACACTAAATATATACAAAGTGGGAGACTGATAAGAAATAATATATATATACGTATAACTACCATACTATTCAAAATGGGAAACAAAATATATTATGATTTTCTTTGTTTTTTCATTAATCCGGATATCCAACCCGTTATGTGAACCAACTAATCTCAGGACGACCAGTTGCTTTGCGGGCAGCCCGGAGTCACCGCATTTGAACATCCGTGGCTACAAGGGATTTTTATTCCTCATTGGATTTGAACTTGGGACCTCCAGGCACTTTTGACTTTTGGAGCCCAAGTTCAAACCAGTCAAGCACCACCCGTGTGGTTAAATTATGATTTTTGTATTTGTGGTTTGTTAATATTTTCTATTTTCGTCCTTATGGTTTAGAAATTGCTATTTTTGTCCTTAGACTAAATTCCTACCTTCAAAAGTACAAGGGATCAAAACAGTAAAGAATTATAAAGCATAGGGACTGAACAACAATAAATTGTAAATCATAAGGACGAAAATAGCAATTAATTACAAGCTACAAGAACGAAGACCATAACTTCTCAACCATAGGGGACGAAAATCATAATTTTTAACAAACCACAGGGATGAAAAAAGTAATTTACTCTAAAATATATGTACATGATGCTCTTTAAATTGGGAGACTAGTGAAGAGGTTGAAGATGACAGATGAAACTAGGAGGACGAGCAAGAAAATGGTTTTTTTTTTTTTTTGAAGTATATAATATTTATATACTGCAAATAGAACAAATAAACTCACACACCCTCTTCACCTTTGGTGAGGTTTGAACCCTTGACCTCCTAAAAGTTCAAGGACTCACATACCGTTAGGCCAAAGCCCTTTGGTGGGTTTATTTTTATAGAAAGTAAGATCAGTAAGTCAAGTTCTAAACCATAACATCTAACCCCCGCCTCAGTCTCGCATCCGGCGCCTCAAGGCCACCTCAGTGGCTCAAGGCATACGGCTTAACTAACCCATGACAGCCGCCGCCTGAGACTCAGATTTTTTTAAAACCATGCAGCAGGGTCAGTGACTGGTTCTGATATTATGAACATTTATCTGCATTTGCATTTGACATACTTATGGCGCACATTGAGTTTGATTGCAATAAAGTGATGTGGTGCATTCAGAATGGATGTAAATAATACAAAAAAATAGCAAGAAAGCATGGTATAGACTTACTTCTGTAACCCAATAATGCTGATAGATCTCATCAATATATTCAGCAACTTCAAGGTGATTGCATTCATCATAGATATTGGGTAGGATCTCCTGCTTGGTGACATTGTCATTTTCCTTTAACAGCTGCAGCCCAGTGTACTTTGTCATCATTTAAATCATCAAATAATTATATTTAATGGAGACAACAAAAATTAAATTTTATCCACCGTTGATCTCGCGATTAGCAAAGATGTGTAGGATTTTCGACGACCAGATTTCCTTTTGGCAGCGACGTTTGATGTACTCGCGTCTAAGTTGCTGTTGCAAGCAGATGGAACACCTTCTGCAGGTTTCTCACAAGTTACAGCTTCAGTATGTTTAGAAAACGACGACCTTGATGCCACCTCCTTCCTCCTAGATGAAACAGAAGCTGCGAATGTTGATTTGCTAGAAACAGAGGTGCTTTTTGATACCCTTTGAGCTCGGGGAATACCAATTGTAGTTTTCACAGTTGGCTGGTAGGCGAAAAGGACATACAATGTTTTGAGTACACAAACTCACTAATTCAGTGATTGAAGTTTAGAAATGAAGAGCTAACTACAAAATGGTGAATTGAGTTCATTGATGATCTTAACAAAGAAATAGAACTGTAAACATACCTTCATTGATCTCCTAGACAATCTATGTGCATCCCCTGTTGGCTGATGACCTTCTGACACCCTAGAAGCAGATTGATAATATAGATTTAACTTGGTGAAGAATTTGTAATTCATACTGCATGGCTGCATGCAAACTAGTAGACATGGTTTTTCGGGTAACCACAAATTGCCTGGAGTCATCGCATCCATGGCTACATGGGCTTTGGCAGCGCCTGTATTTGAACCCGGGGAAGATGAGGTTTCCACTACATCCCCTGAGCCTTAACCAGTGTATTTGAACTAGGTTGCGAACAAGGGTGAAGGCCAAAATGTCTTTTAATGCAACAAAATTATTTCAAAAGAAATTCACACTGCATGCAAACTAGTAACCTGAAATGAAAAGGGTTTATGACTAGTAACACTAGATTTTTACATGGTGTACTCACATTTTTATATATCCATCGCTAACCCTATTCTTCCAACGGTAGTCCCTGGCATTGCTTACTTGCGGTACAACTTTCGTGCCCACTTTAGGTTTAACTGAAAAGTCAAGAACGAAAATAGTTGACGGGTTAATATGTCAACATTATCAAAATGATACCGTGAATGACTCACTTCACCGAAAGCTAAATCACTAACCAGAAAAGCCACATTTTTCTTTGCTCTTCACTTTATTTTCCAAACTTCCCTGCAAGTAAAGGATAATGATGCATTTAACAGAAAATTAACTAATATGCAGGAAATGGTCGATTCTTTGTTGCTATGACGACCTATACAAATTACTAGACGAGAATACAGTAAAACGTAACAGAATATAATCATACGAGAATACAGTAAAACATAACAGAATATAATCATACTTTGTTGAGATCACATGTATCCGCCTTGTCGACGTGCTTTAGAACTGGTAAAGATTTCCTTCCAAAAAGAAACAATTGGAACCATCAATTTAAGGACATTGGCATATTAGGGACACACTGCAAAAATACAAACCTTTGTGGCGGGTTATAAATCCTAGCAGATTTCCTAAACAAACAGAAAAAGTAAGGATCAACTAACAATCACAATATAATCAGAGAGGCAAAGAAATCAATCAACACAGTTGAGCAGAAAATTATGTTGACTACCATTACCTTGTAGCATCACCAACAGTTTCTTGACCCTGTAGCCTTGTCCTAGGATTGCCATTGAAGACCTTCAGATCCTTGGCACCGACTACTTTTCAGGAACGAAGTAGAATATAAGACACTAATCGATAGGATAGATATGTGAACCTCCATACTGAAAGTTACCTCGTCTCAGTGTATTTCGGCCATCAACAGCTTCACTCTGGCTTCCCACATGTGTTCCCTATTAAGCAGAAGCCGGTTTGATATAAGAAAGGAAACATAGATAGGTAGATACAGTGTGCATATAGTACACAGCTGGGAGTTGGCCGTGATAGTGAGTTAAAGGAAACCCTGTACTTCTGGACTTGTATATATGTGCAATTTCATAAAGAATAATATCTCACTTTTTCCGTTTCCACAACTCAACATTATGGTATTCTGAAAGCAAATCTGATTCAACAAGAAAGCAAGCAAGAACCCAGTAGGGAAGACGGGAGAAAATGAGGGTAAAGACTAAAGACTGATATCAAAGCTACCACCATCTCTTAAACTCTCCTCTTTTAGAAAATGTACCCACTTCTTGGAGAAGAAAGCTTGATAATGGTTGGTTAGCCACCGAACCTGGGATTTGTTTCTAAAATGACTGGCAAAGGTAGAATCATTTTTCTGTGAACTTATTCTAAAACACAGAAACCGTCACCACTAAATGTAAAACCCTGTCAAAAGCCAAGAAGGCATGGGGTTCAAGTTTGTTGGGAGTACCATTGATGGTTTGCCTGATGAACTTGCAGTCCTGACTCTCGTACCAACTGAAGCCCTACAAATTCGCATGATACTGACAGTAAGTCAAGGGAAGAACCAAATTAGAAGATAAATGAAAGAAATTTATCACAAGAGGTGGTCAAAAGGCCCAAAACTAACCACGGATGAACAAAAAATATGTTTCTGACGAGATGTGCCTCTAGATGGGATAATGTCAAATGTAATAGTGCATTAAGCTACTGTTCCATAAAACAATAAGAAGTCCTCCCTCCACATTCTGTGCATGTTACAGTGGTGGTATCTGGTTTTCTATAGGACTGGAGGGAGGGGGGAGAAAGAGAGGAGACTCCAATGATGAATCCGTATGCATTTTATCACTAAATTAATGTGTATGATTGCTAACACAAACTTTTCAAGCAATTAGAGTAACAAAAGAGTGTGTAATAATAATGGGCATGGTGGTGTGCATACCTTTGTATACATGCCATCTTTTCCAATTTACCTTTCCTGCAATGTTTTGGACGAAGAGAATTTGTTAGTCAAAACAAGGCAAACGGAAGATTGGAAGAACTTCAGCACATATTTTTCATAACTACAGAGAAAGCTCTGGATAGCCCAAGTGGGATAATCATCCTGAACTAAAACTGTAACTGTACTCTGAAACACTATTCAATAAGTGGCAAAGTAACAAAGATTCCAACATGCTTCAAGAAGAAAACTGATCTATTCTATTTGCCCTCTACTCTGAGCTCTAGAAAAAACTTACGAGAAGAGCATGCGATACAATAAGATAATAAGTTTTTAGATGGGAAGCAGCTCAATGTCACTCACCCAGGTCTGGAGCTATCAAAGGTCTCATTCTTCTGAATATTGGAATTGCTGATATCCGCCAACACTTTCCTTCCTACTTTAGTTTGAGCAGTGAAGCATGAAATTGTTAAATGGTTTTACAAACAAGAAAACTTATTCTACTGAAGGTTAAGCTACATAATGCTTACCAGAGTTGATGTTTTTCCCATTAATCTTCTCCAACTTGTTGACGTCCACCTTCATAAATTTTACAAAAAATACAGGCTTAATTCCAAATAATATATGCTCTCTGCGTTAAAAGACCACACTCTTCATCCACCTCTATGTACCCAAGCTTTGTAAGAATTAGAAAAGTGGTATTAACCTTATGATGATTGGCATGAACATGACTGGTTTCAGCTTTGACTGGAATAGATTTCCTTCTACAAAAGAACAAGGGTATTGAAAGAGTTATAAAGGAATCAACATGCATCCTCAAGAACACTGTAGTCAACTGTCAAAGTGGCTAATATATGTCAAAGACCTTCCAGCCTAGTGGTAAAGGCTTGGGCATGGCATAGTCATGAACCCGAGTTCGACCCCTGGGAGGGGAGTGTTGGCGACATTTAAGTGGGGCCATGTTTAGCCTCCAAATTTGCCGGGGATTAGTCGGGCTTTGGCCCAGACACCCTTACAAAAAAAAAAAAAGTGGCTAATATATACAAGAAAGAATAAAATGGAAGAAATAAACAAGCTTCTGCTAGCACATTTTTTGCAGGCTGTGGAACTATGAAGTGACTAAATTTTCTTCAGCTTCGGTCCTTTTCCCATTTCAAAACCTAATCAACAAGAATGGAGCGTAATCAAGGCTATCGAACATGAACAGATTGCTTCCCTGCCTCCTATCTAGATTAAATTCCTTGGATATATTCCACTCGTTCAAATCGTTTGTGACTTCTCCCCCATGTTGTTAGCCTTGGCCTTCCCCTAGCTCGCTTTGCCTTCCTGTTAAAGCAAGTCTACCCTTCTCATGAAGGGTCCAAAGATCTATGTTCAACTATACCACGCCATCTCAAGCCAGTTTGCATAAGTTTCTCGTTAATTAGAACCACACCAATACCTCAATCATTAGTGCATTGTTTGATATCTCATTCATCCTCAAATAACTCGGACAAACATCCTCCACTCATCAAACATTTGATTGTCCTAAAATTGCTATTAAATAGCCTAGTAAGCTGTACTATGTATTTGACATATTTACTTAGGTTTAATATCGCATTCCAAGCAACCACATGTTTTGTACTGACTACCGACCACTAATGGAATCCCTATTAATTCCACAGGAGTTCCAACAAATATGCATTTGTTCAGAGAAAAACTTACAGGACTCTATGTTCCTTGGACTTCAAACTACAAAGTACAACTAAAAAAGAAGTGCACTACCCATCAGTAGGTGAAAAAGAACCCTACAAGTGAAGGAAAACCGAATTAAAACTTACTTGGTTTCAGCGGCAACAGGACCCCTGCTATCACTCTTAACCTTCTCGTTTTCTGCATACACCTTGAGACTTCTGACTCCACCTGTTTATTGAAGCAATTTGAGAGCTAATAAGAATAACACAAATTGCATACAGTAAAAAAGAAAGATGTTGCAATTAGAGAAAACTGGCATACCACTCTTCCTGGTGTCTCGTCCTCCTGAAACCCTACCCTTGAATGTGCTTAAACCCTTGATTTAAAGAATGCAAAATTCAGTCTACTCAGAGCCAGTAATTAGAAGACGTAAAAGAAGATGATTTATCAGGGTTTCAAACGTACCTTAACAACTACCATTGTGTTTCACCTCCTCCGCATCTGTAACCAGTCAGACGAAAAGAATATAAGAAAATCAATCCTCTAAATACGCTAAAGATGAATTCGAGTCAGAAATCTTCAAATATATCTGCATTCTGTCAATCGCGTAATTAAAACAAAAACAAAGAATTGAGTTTATCAACTCAACCAAATCATCTACGAAGAAAATATCATCGGATCGAAGGAAACAAAAGGAAATCAAGAATTTAACCTAGGAATCAATCTGCGTGAATTCTACGGAGGGATCCGAGAGATTTGAAAATTTGGGGGGCTTCTTCACTTCTTTTTGCCGTTGGCTTTGTGATGTTTTGAATTAAGATGTGATTTACGAAATTGTCCTTCCCTTCTGCCGCCCATCAACGTATCGAAGTTTGAAATTATTTGCATATGGATCGATGGGTCGGATCACGGATCAAAATGGATTTGTTAAAGTGTTCGTTTGTTGGTTGGGCCGGGCCTAACTTTTTTTGGCCCAATAGGCCTAACCTTTTTGGCCCAATAGGCCTCAGCAATTTCACTGATCAGATCAGATTGTGAAAGAGAAAAAAAATATTAAAAAATAAAAATAAATTGTCAATCTCCTTTGATCCGGCTCATCTAGCAAACCACCAAAGGTGAGGGGTTCAAACTTCACCAAAGATGAAAAAGGTGTATAAATTATTTGTTGTATTTGTTGTATATAAATATTATACGCTTCCCAGAAAAAAAGATTGATTGAGATTGTTACTTTGTATTTTTATGAGATTGACACATGGTATCATGTCATTGGTTGAATTTGATTTTTGTAAAACAAAACCTATTTGATTAAAAAGTGATTTTAACAAAAAAATTAAACATTAAAAAATATATCAAAATTCATATATTTAAATTGCCTATAAATAGAATTTAATATTGACATGTTTTCATCATACCAATTTTCAATTGTACGGTAAGTTTTTTAATAATTATAATTACGTTTTAGAATATGTAATAGTCCGTCCAATCTATTTTTTATACTTAAAATCAAAAAATAATTATTATATATGATAACAAATTAAATATATAATTTTTACAAAATAATATTTTAGGTTTGATTGGATCATGAATGATAAAATAAAAAACTGAGATTGGATTGAAATTGAAGATTGTGCAAGGAAAATGGCGTTGAATTTGATTTTATTTTTTTTTAAGAATCTGTTGAAAAGGTTTTAAATCGTAAATTAGCAAATACTCTATGACATAGTTGTAAGAGTATCTCCAACAAATTCTCTAAAATAGAGAAAATGAAGTTTTTGTTATTGTCTAAAATAGAGAAGACTATTGAAAGCTCCAATTTTAGAAAATTCAGAAATTAATTTTTATTCATTCTTACCAATTAAATTGAATAAAAATTGCATTGAAATAATAAATTTATAAAATATTTTAATAATTTTAGAATTTTTGGAGTTTTTAGGTAATTCACTTAGAAAATAACAAAAGGGTTTGACAGTTGCTGAATGGTTTGATACAAAGTGACAAAATGACTAAGAGACTATACAATATAGTGTCAATATGAAATATGGTTATTTTGTAACTATTGTGAATGAATTTTTGAATAACAACAAATTACCATTTTAACACGCTATATGATTAGTGTTACATGAAATATAGTTGTTTAGTAAATATATGAATAAGACAATTACTAAGGGAAATTTTGGAAAAAGTAGGGGCTCTGGATGGATTAGCAAGACCCTTTATAAAAATCGCTCGGAGCTAATGAACCATTAAGAGGTTGCATTTTTTTATCGCACATGATTTACCTCTTAATGATTCAGATACCGCCTCTTAATGAAGCTATTAAAAGGCAAACAAACAACCCAAAATAAGTATAAATATATAAAACTCACACCATGCCCATGGTTCAATTTTTGTAGAGCCACATCCATTAACCAAAATATTTAAAATTTCATATATTTGCCAAACTGTAATTTCAGAAAACGATAAATAGCTGCAACAACAACCTGACCAACATGAATACTTCAAATAAATATAATATGTGCAACTCTATAACCATACAATTATTACTACATTGCCCTTCCACCCACAAGGGGTTTAGGTAGATTCAATGATCTAATCTCAGGGGCAGAACTGGGAAATAGTATATTAAGCTTATGCATCAAGATATCACCTCTTGATGGTATCTCATTCAAAAGAAACTGCTGAACAATTGGCTTTTTGAACCATTCTGATACAGACTCACCTGGTGCCCTCAGAACCACCTTACTAACCTCAAATGGTGATTCAACTGAGCTCAGCATCTGTGCAACCACAATCTTTAGGGTCGGTCCTGTCACCAACTTGATTCGCCGAGGAACCACGCCATAATACAGCATTCGTTTCCTGAATCTATGGAGGGTATGAACAACTGCTATAAGAGCTGCTCCAACTGATAAGTTTCTAACATCAAGTGACCAAGCAATGTGTTGATCAAACACAATCGCTTTAGGGAAAAGTTTGTTTTCATATGAAACTTTCCACACACAACGTGCACGATTGATCTGACCCATTAGAACAAGATAGTTTAGGAGCACGTTCACAAAGTATCGTGCAGCTCCTTCTTCGGATTCATAATCAATACTCTGAAAGAAGTCACGGACAAAAACTAGAACGGGTTGCTTCCTCTGTTCTGGCCCTGTGAAAAGCCCACACATAAAGGCGTGTGCTTTATGCTTTGTGGCACTCAAGATTGACATCAAATGGCGTTCGTTGTGTTCTTCTTGACATCTTACAAGATGGGCTAGGATCGATGTGTAGAGAATAAGATCAACTTTAGCAGCAGATTCGACATAGTTTTCAAGAAGAGGTTTGGCAGACTCGTAAAGCCCGTTTTTCATACAAGATTCAAAAAGCTGCCTTACAATAAAGTTGTTCGTTCTAATCCCTGAAGAACCCATGAACCTTAGCCATCTTAGAGCGAGATCAACAGAAGCATCCTTGATGAAAACCATAAGAACATCGCTAGCGGTCACATCTACAGAGTATCCCATTGCCTTCATTTCGAGCAAAATCTTTGCAGCTATGTCTACAAGTTTCTTTTTCGCTAAAAGTGTTAGTAGAGCGGTGTAGGTGGTCAGGCCCGGTCTTACACCTGCATTGCTCATTGAATTATACAGTTTCATGGCGGCATCGACTTGACCAGAAGCAGCATGCATTTCGAGCAAGCAGGAATAGGTGCTGGGAGTTGGTAAGAAACCGGCTTTTTCCATATCAGAAAAGATAGACATTGCAGTCTCGAGCTTTCCTGATTTTGCATGGGACTCCACAACCATGGTGTAGAGCCCATAATTAGGTCTAAATCGAGCTTTTTTCATCTCATCCCAAATCCTTAGAGCCGTATCTAGCTTCCCCGCCTTGACATATGACTCGATCATGGAAACAAACATGGTTGCAGATGGTCTGAACCCGAAGCCTTGCATTTCCATGTAAACTTTCATTGCTGTATCCAACCTCCCAGCCTTGCCCAATGAATCAACAAGTGATGCAAATATCATAAACCCTGGTTGGAGATTTTTCTCTTTCATTTGTTGGAAGAGCTTCAATGCTGCATCGATCCGGCCTGATTTGGCAAGGCTAGGTATCATCAACTCGTAGGTTGATCCATCCAACGAACAACCAGCTCCTTCCATGTTCTCATATATCTCAAACGCCTTGAAAGGCAAACCCTTGTCCAAAAACAAAGTTATAAGCGAGTTGTAAGTTTTCGTGTCGACTTTACACCCAGATTCTTGAATCTTTTTAAAACAACAGAAAGAAACCTCCAATTTCTCAGCTTTCGCAAGATACTGAACAATTCTACTAAACGCATTGAACTCAGGAACCATAGCTTTCGTTGAATCACGAATAAGATCATCGAACACCGATTGAATCCCTTCAAATTCACGACTTTGGTTCAACCTATCAATCAATGCAAGGTAACATTCATCACTAGGTGAATACCAAGATTGCCTCTTTGACCATCTAAACAGACTCAACGATGCATCACCATCTCCGGTAATCTTCAAAGCCTGAGTGATATGAGTCATATTTGGAACAAACTGGAGTTTATCCAATTGAGTCTCCATTTCAGGACCCCATTTCCACCTTTTAACAACCTCGACAATCTTAGCAACTGCAGAAGCATTCGAAAATGGCTGTTTTAAGCCACCTACCATTATATGGTCATCCACTCCAGGCTCAATCGATCTTATACCCTTACCAGTGTAAATAACACTGCCAGATTCATCTAAGTACTCGATATCTTCAGTCCACTCATTGGATCCTTGAATTTTCTTCCCAGAACAGTAACTACGAACTCTAATACTAGGGTTTGGACTAGTTGTTACGGAATCGAATCTTCCGGGAATCGATACCAAACAGCGGTTCAAATGCTTAACAAATCTATGACTGTCATTAACCACGGAAATTGATGAATATAATGTGAGTAGATGAAGATTGTTCAAAACGTACCTGGAAAACGAACGGCTACGAGCAATCATCTTAAATTCATATACAATAACAATACTCGAATTAGGAATCAGAAAGGAGGAAAGGAGGAATCACGTTCATGGCGGAAACAAGAAGAGTGATTCGCTCTCCATCTGAGGTTTAAGGGTTTTGGAAACCCTAGTCTTGTGAATACCTGGCTTATTTTATTTTTTTAATTCCATAAATATGGAAATTTTAAATAAAAATGTTAATATTGTGAAAATGCAATAACAAAATATTAACGGATTTTATGTTCTAAATCGTTAACAAGTGAATCTTGTTTGACAAAAAAAGTTTGTCTTTGATGATTCTAAAATTCTCTGAATGATTTTGTATCAGATGTCTTCTTTAACCATTCAACGTCTTAATTTCATTATAAACAATTACCAAACAATTATATTTCATTTTGTATTGTATCATTAGAGTCTCTTAATCATTCTGATCACTTAATTATTTTGTGTCAAATCATTCAACAACTGTCAAATAGCCCTTAAGTAAAGATTCATATATGGGCTATTGAAAATTTTAATTTGAAAATGCATATGAACAAATCTGTAACGTCGACTCAAATTTTTTTAGGTTTTTTCAATGGTAAACGTATGAACATTCATTTTTTATAGCATCTTCAACAGTTATGTTTTGAAAATTTTGAAAAAGTTTGCTCCAACAACTATGTTAAACTCTTATATGTTACATTCTTAAATATTTAATATTCCATTTAAAGAGGCTTATTTTACAAAATCAAACAAATATAAGGAATCGGGTTTGTCACCGGTCTTTCCAAGGCCCAAACCTTAGGGTGCGTTTGGTAGGCAGAACATGGTGGGACAGGACAGGACAGAACACATTTGTCCCATGTTTGGTGTGGTTTTATGTGGGACTAAGTGGAACAAGGTAGAACACGGGTAGGACACGGTAATCCACCCTTCCCCCATGGAACTAACTAGAACAAGAAATAATTGACCTTTCTACCCTCTCAAAACCTTCATCACCGTGCCCTTCTTCCCCTCCATCTTCCACCGTCTCCTTCATCATCGGCGGCCTATTATCAATCGGTGGCCTGGACAGAATCGTTCCCCTTCACAATCGTTCTCCTTCACAACCGTTCTCCTTCACAATCGTTCTCCTTCATCAATCGTTTAGAAGAACTCGGCAGCCCCAATCGTTCGACCTTCTCCTTTCTCCATATTATCAGGTAATCGATCTCTCCTCTCCTTCATTAAAGATGTTGTCACACTTCGATTCTTGAAAGATGTTATCTTAATGCCATTAAAGATGTTATCGCACWTTGATTCATGAAAGCTTACTGTATTCAAGCATACTGTTTGCATTTTCTTAACTATATTCAAGCTTGCTGTATCACACTTCGATTAATGCCATTATAGATAAATATAAATTTCGTTTGAAGTATTTGAGAGTTCCTAAGCATACTGTTTGCATTTCCTTTTTGAAGTATTTGAGTCCCATTGAAATTGATGTTTATCTACTCCATTTCCTTTGAGTATTTGAGTGCCCTAAGCTACTGTTTGCATTTCATTTTGAAGTATTTGAGTGCCCTCTGCTTTTCAAATGCAAAAGCAGTAATGGGTTTATCTACTCCATTTTGCTACTGTTTGTATTTCCTTAACTATATTCTTTTTTGCATTTCCTTAACACTAATTTGATGTTTACATTTTCTTTTGATTTATTAATGTGAGTTTTTTATTAAGATTGATTTTGGAATTTTTTTGGTATTTTTAAATAGTATTCGTAAGCATTTATATTGATTATTTAGTGAAAAAACACTAAACAGCTCACTGGGGGTAAATTGGTCATTTTAACCAGTTTTGTCATGTCCTGTCATGTCTTACCAAACGCTGAACAGCTGTCATGTCATGTCAAAAAAAAAAAAAAGGTTTAATGGCGGGGACCTCATGGCCCCGTGGTCCACATTTTGTGAACCCTACTTGCCATACCTCATGTCATGTCTTGTCTGCGCACCAAATGCACCCTTATGTCACCATTTAAAGTTTGCTCCTTTTATGGTTTAAATTAGAACTATTCTTGATATATATAACAGTTTTATAATTTAAAATAAAAAACTCAAAATCTCAATATATATATATATATATATATATATATATATAATTAAAAAGAAATTATCTATTTTATCAATTATAATATTAATTATTTTATTAAAATATTCAGTTTATTTGATTTTTTAACAAAAAATTTATAAAAGATAATTTCATATTTTTTTCTCTCTTATCCAAAATAAGTAAAAATAATATTAATTTAATTTTTTACTCATCCGAATTTTAATTTTTTCCTTCTTTCCTTATTTAAAAAAAGATTCTATTGGAACAATAAAAAACATTAAGGGGGTATTTTGTTAGAGGTATTAAGTAATAATCAATGAAAATGAAAATAACAAAAAAACTGTTGGATTTTATATAATATAACAGACACATTCCTCCAAAAGCCCAAATATTTATTCCTGGTTAAACCGAGAAGAATGAAAATTCATTCTCATTTTTTGTCATTTTTTAAATTAGGTCCTAACGATCTCAAGTCCAAGACTGTTATGATATTTACAAGTTGGTTATATAGAGTTTAAATTACATAAAAATATAAATTAAGATAATGTTTAGAATAATATGACATCATTTTACTTTCATCGAGTAATACAGGATCACCAGTAGAACTCAATCTTTAAAAATAGAGGGTTCATAATCATTAAATGTCAGAGTAAGTTTTATCATATATAAGTATCATATATTTTCTAACATATCTTAGGGTTGTTTACTTTTTTCCATTAAATCGTGTTAGTTAAGTCGTTTGTATCGATAAACTCGTTTCTCCGAGGGATGGAAGACCGACGGGTTTGAAGGAGGCAAAGAAAAAGGGTTGAATTGTTTTCGGGGAATTTATGGTAATAATTTGTTTGAAGTGGCTTAATGGAAACAAATGAGGGTCTCAATTTATTCCATATAGGCATTTGAACTTAATAGCTTACCAACTAAGCCATACAAAATCACTCTTGTTGTTTGGTTCAACAATACCGTTTATCCTAATGAGTTTTACTGACCCACTAGACCATAAACTTCTCAAGCTCAAGCATTTAGCCTTTGTGTAGTAAGGAAATAAGTCATCCATGCCATTAAGCTCATTAAACTGCACGAATAATATAATTTTAATTACATCAACTAAAAAGATGTAAAAACTATCTAAATGAAATATTTGAATTCAAAAACCTTTTAAACCATATATACACACACACACACACACACACACATATATATAGGGAAGGGTTCAAACGAGAACCCATGTGATTTACGAAAACGCGAGAACAACTTAATAACCATATATTGTGATAAAGATAAAATTAAAATTAAATTAAAATTAAATTAAAACAAGATTCAAAAAATTTAAAATTAAAAAGGGTAAAAATGGAAATGATATTTATCTTCAAAACGGTTAAAATCTATCATTAAACATGATATCTTCTCAATATTATCACGATAACTTCTCAATATTATCATCATC